AACAATTGGCCTCGGCCGGTTGTTGTCGACTACCTGGTTGGGGTCCGAGAGATGAGGAAACTTGCTGGTTGAAAACCTTGGAAGTTATGGCTCAAGATCGATGTCAATGGCGGACGTGTGCATCAGTGTGTTGCGGTGTTCCTTCCTCCTCCCCCTAAAAAAGAACAAACTGAAAAAAATTTCAAAAACTGTGAGTGGTAAACTTGACAAAAAAAGCATTTCTTGTTGCTCTTTTCTTATTATTCATATTGTTTTCCTATTCAGCCGTGATTCCGATGGCACAATATCTGTACCACAGATTGTGTATAAGATATATATATATATATATACACGATAGTTAATGCATCCTCATTCTTCCTGGTAACTAACTACTAGTTTTGGGTTGTTTTCTAGGCAGCGACCACTGTAGGCGTGCCTATTGGAGCTTACAGCCGATTTTTAGTTGGAGCATTCTGAGCTGCGGGCGTTCCGGCTTTCGCATGGAGCCATTTGAGTTGACCGTATCCCGGTTACTCTTTTCGCCAGCCTGTATTCAGCTCTGTTCCATCCATCGGCTCTTCAAATGTAAACAGCAACAACAACCACGATGGATGATCTGCGATCATTTCTGATACCACAACTTGTCTTCCTGTTTGCTACCAACCCTCCATTTTTCAAGTGATTGTTTCACGGCACAATAACGGGAAATAGATGCGCTCTACGACTTTATGCACTACTTTATGACTGAGCGGCCCGGTGTTCCCCGCTTACAAGACCGCATGTTGCAGGCGGATCCTGTACTGCTCTGTGAACTTACCTGGTAATTATATAAAAAACAATTCCGTTTAGAGACCAATAGTTTCTTCAAAATTAATTGCGTTAATAATCTGCCTTATGAATAACACAGCTGTAATTCCGCATCACATGCCGGACCGTTTGCTCACGGTGATGCCGTGCAACACAAACTCGTGCTTCCCACCTCACCTGCTGCAGAAATCCAATCCACCACTTGCCTAGGCTGAGAACAGTTTCAGGGTCCCCTTTCAACGTCACACTAGTACTGAAGATATTTAACAAAGGATTGTCAGATCAGACTGATTTTTCCGGCCACTGAGCAACATACTTTCTTTGCGCAGACATCAGTGACCCGGGCACGCTTTTCGCACGGATACTCATCGTTTACCTCGCCGTGCCCTCTTCGCGCGCGCAGAAGTCGGCTGGAAGCGAAAGCAATCTGGTCAACGTGTGACTTGAGCAAGGAGCATAAAGGAGCTAACATCAGAGTTAGCTGTTTTCGGGCAACCTCAACTCCTTGGTTGGGGTGTCAAAGATCACGAACACGCATGGCTGGAAACAGTTTCGGATATGGCAAGAAACCGTGCGCAGTGGCAGACCTGTTGTGACTCTCTATTCTCATGAACACTAGTTCATTTTTTCCTCTCTCCCTTCATTTGTGTATTGTATTTTCCGTCTGTTATACGTTACAAATTGTACTATTGGCCATGTTGAAAGAATATATATATATATATACATACATATATATATATACAAACAGAAAAATCAGAAGACGTAGATTGTGGGATAACGTCGCCGTTTCGTTTATTCTTATCAATCACAAATTCATGCAACGACGTATGTAAATGAACAACCGAGTTCCGGTCCAGTAGTGTGCGCACGTTCCAGCATCTGATGCTGTGTTTTGCGCGCAGACATACGATTGTATTAGTGGGCAATCACACGTGAGGTGGCGGTTGTGCTTCGGAGGTCTGCTTGAGGGACTCCACCCGGAGCCTCTGGCTGAATAGCCTGACCCACAAGGCAGTGGGGAGCAGATCCAGCTCGAGTATGTAATTGCAGAGACGGATTGGGATCTGCTTGACGGCCGTCACACGCAACCTTTGAGGTTCTGAAACGATTCATATGTGTTTTGCGACCGTAGTAGGAAACGCACCTGCGACCACGGCCTGACGCAGGTGTGTTTTGGCGGGTTTGCACCGATTTGACCAGGGGCTGCCTGGCTTGAGGCGGGTAGTAGCAAATCACTGAGCACCCGGAGGTACCCTCCTACCGTCAGAGACAATGCGTGGTACTCGTGCTTTACGCCAATCGAGCGGTGAGCTTATAACCCGTAGACTTGTTGTCTCTCATGGCTAGGTTTTACGCGAAGAGGGCCTTCGATCACTACCTGACCTCCGAAGAGGATGGACTAGGATACTGGCAGTGCGCCCTCGCTTGACGGGAGAACGACTGGGGTCCTCAGCCAAGGCCTTCGATTAGATGTACACCCGAAAGGCAGCGTGTGTAACCCATGGTCAGCTCACTGACTCCTGTGGTTTTATTTTCTGGATATATATACATATATATATATATATATATATATATATATATATATATAACTTTCCTGCATGCGTTCTCGTTGCTTGGTATACATAGGCCTTTATTACACTCCAGATACATTCTATAGGGTTATGCAACATAGAATATTGGGTTGATCGTAGAATCCCTTGATTAGTGCTGTTCTTCCTCGAGACAGTTCTCCAGATCTGTGCCAGTAATGCAGTGGGTTACAGTTCCTCGTGGAATAAATGCTGTTACTTACGGGTACTTGCTTGGGTGACCCACTTATTCTCAATGCACTTCTGTGCCTGTATGGATGATCTGTGGTTCCAAAGAACGCAAACTAGTCTTTCCGTCGATATCACCGTAAACATAGGTATAGACTACCAAGTGGGAGTAGTTTGTTTGGCTCTAAATGGGTTCTTTGGGTCGCCTACCACTAGGGAGAGCGCAGATGAGCTTGGAATCTACAACCCGATTTAACTGCGACAGCACATCACCTTGGTTCCAAGTTACCTAAAACCGACCTAGGCACGGGGTACACATAGTTTTAACGCGATCATAACTTAGACGGGACGGAGCTGAACGTTGTCTGGCAGAAAGAGTAACCAAGTTACGGTCACCTCAAATGGCTCCATTCGACAGCCGGAACGCTCGTAACTCAGTCCTTGAAGCCAGTGTGGTCAAGCTTGAGGTAAGAGCATCGTTCTTCTTAGATATATGTTGATGTGCGCCCCTGTAAATTTCGATAAATGAGCACTGAACGTCTTCTAAGCTAATCCTATCTGTATTGTGTAGCTGACTATGTATGATGGCGTAGTATACCATTTTGGGTCTCACCATGGGTAAATATGATAACGCGTGTGTTCGACTCTTCATCGACGCCAAACAGATACCCTTTAATAGAACACGAATGTTGGTTGCTGGAGTATGCGTTTCCTGCTTCTATTTAATATTCCTAGGTGTCTCCTAAACTACAGACTTTCATCATATCCGTTAGCTATGTCGTGAAATCCCCCCTTACTCCTATCTAGCACGGTACACCACTTTCTATGCTGCAACGGGTGGCCACATCAATACTCACTCACCCGCGCTATAGAGATGCTGGTTTTAGCACCTTATTTCGGACGCTGAAAGCAGATTGTCTGTGCAACCTAACCGTACTTCTTATTTCTCTTCTATTTACAGAATACAAGAGCATGTGTATGTTTAAAGTTGTCCCAACTTCCTTCTCTGATTAATTCTTACTTGCTTCTAATATATGCCACATAGATTCCTTCCGGAGGAGTTACGTAGACCGGCATTCTACTATTGACTGACGAGTTATCTTCTAACCCAAAACTGTTGTGCCTAATCTGACGCCCGCCCAGCGTATACAATTCGTGGCACTACGTCATACTACTTAGACAAATGCGCGAACTTGTTTCCGACCTGCTCCTTAACTGGGGTACTGTTCTCCGGTCTAACTAAGCCTTGATCATCATGTGTTAAACGTTGCAGGGGACCCTAATGCGCACCTCATTGTGGTACTCGAATACCGTTATGTGGTTGAAGCTCATGCTCGTCATCGGACTTCGCTGCTTCCTTCTTTTCATTGTACATGACTTGCTTACTTCGCTAGTAATCAGCATGCGTTTTGTAGGTCTCGCTTTGATCACCAGTCACTACCATATGGGTCGACGGATGTGACTGTTCATGTCTATGGTTGTTGTTCAACTTCCAAATTCGGTTCCGTGCATGTGTCTTGAAAGCATATCTTTTGTGCATCGGAACAGTAAATTGCTGAAATGACGTGGCCCCGGACAGTATCTAACACATTATTCAGTCCTTTTGGAACCCTGTCTGCTTCTCTAGGGTTTCTATTAATGTCGAGGTGACAATGGAAGTCATTCCTCTGCTGCCTTCTAAACTGATTGCCTACGATTCTCACTCCTCCACTGACATCTCATTTGGGTTATTTTGCTGCGTGCATACCATTACTCACCCGCCTGATCAGATCACATGTTCCAGCTTGTTTTCATGTTCATATGTGCTTGTACGAAAGCCGTATATCCGACAGTATCATTGGATCTTTGGCACACACGAAACCCTTTTTTGCTCCGTGGTTAGACACGATTTTTCTTCAATGTAATACACTTGTTTTTTATTGACTTAGCAATTCATTTTGGTGACTTAGCCAGCTGGGCTTCCGCTTTCCCTCTGACTCACCGATATAAATGGTTGAATTCTACAGGCTTCAGGGATATCATCCACTGCTGCTGAGTTCCATTAGTTTGAAGCCGCTTTTTCTTTTCCCAACGATATTTGGTTTATACTATATGAACCTACTTGTGCATGACTGGTAATGACAATTAATCCCATATAAAATCGCATCTCCCAGAATGAGCTATAATAAATATAAAACAAGACATAGTTCCGTAGAACACTACGGATGCTACGAAGACAACGGATCTTTAAATACGTTAAAGTAATAAAATGCATCATTCTTGTAGCTACCTATTTTCGCGTACATATTCTTGTTTATGGTACCAAACTACAACCTGATCTCTGTACCGACTTTGACCTCTTCTTCCAAACACTCTAGACCCGTTTTATGTTAACCTATTCACTGTGTCTCGCTTCTTTTTTGTTTCACCTGGCTTTCTGAATTAGATCACCATGACCTGTTTTCATTTACCCTTCAGTCGAAACAGTATGTTTTCGAGCACTTTTCCGATCTGGTTACACTTATTCCCACGACTGATGTGCAACTAACGCTGTTACCCAGTCTGTTGCGCTTGTGGCAAGACAAAAATTGGCGCGTTCGTTTGGGGGTCGTTCAGTCTGTGCCGTGCCTCTATCCAAACTTGGTAAGTGCGGATTTTTAGTTTTCCAACGTGATATTTGTCTCCTACGGCTTCGAGATTGCTACAGTGCTCGAACCTCTTCCGCCCCCCGAGTCGCATGTTTGCCACAATTCTATACAAGACGAACCCATCACAAAATACCCTTTGGGCTCCACACGTTCTCGTCACTAAACAACGATGATCGACAGCTTGCTGAGAACTGTCTAAAAGAATTTTCTTCACCCAATTGCAACCCAATCATTTTTTGGCATCGGCGATGAGTCTACTCTCAGTTTATCTCCACCCTACGTCATTTGGGCATTTTCGTGGACCGTTACGCTGGTCACGCAAAATGTCCCGACCGGATAAGTTGTGATCCCTACTTGACTCGTTTATTAGCATGTTATCCATCCTTCTTTGTCTTCCTATGCTACTCGGATTATACTTTCCAACATTCTCTTGGTCACTGTTTTCGCATTAGTCTTTTTGAACTCATTGTTCCTCTTTTGAAATGGACAGTAATTACTGAGGGGACTAAGTTAATGGGTGTGAAATAGCGACTCTTGGCAGGGCCTTCCCTATCTTCTGCGCGGAAGCAACTTGCAAGTCAATAGACAGTCAGCGGCGCTACATCATCTAGTAACACTCCCATCGACCGTTACTGTCCACCACAGCTCAATGATCTGATGACGTTGGAGTTGCAGATTTCAACCTCATAGGGATCAGATGAAATGCGCTCTACTGATGATTCCCGGAAGGACGAAACGACCTTTTAGTGCTTTTCCGGATGTTGGATGGCGACCTGATTAAGTCTAGACGTGGTAACCTTCCACGTATACTATTGGAGTCCACGTACTGCTCCCTTGTAACCATTTTTGCAACAGACTGTGCTGTTCCTCTAAAGGAAATACAGCAGCTCTATCCCTTCGTAATGCAATTAGTCATTTGTATCATTATGTGAAGCAGGTCGCCTCACCGTTACTTTTCTCTTTTCTTTTTAACTTTAAACAGCCTGAATCATGCGCTCGAGAAACTGTGCTACCGGCTAATCTGTCTTGGCTTCGAGACCCCTCATGGTATGTCCGTGAATGCGCATGTCGAAGTTTGGCACGACTGCTTCGCGTATTTCCCGGTTTGTGCAAGGATACTATCAATGGTTTTGGACAAAAGGCAACGCTTGCCGCTCCTCAAACTACATGTTCTCTGTCTACTGGTACATCGGCGAACAGTACCACAGTAACACCCTCCGGTTCAGCTCCTGTCACAGGCACATCCGCCAATCTTTCAACCACAAACGCAGTTGGAAATCAGCCCACCGGCGGAGAGAATACCAGTGGACCAAATTCGTCCTCAAATCCGCTCGGCACAACGGCTACCAACTTTGTCTCCGCTGTAACTGCTCAGGCTGCTGCTGGTGGATTAAAAGCCCTTGCTGCGGATGCAAACTACCACGTGCGCCAAATTTATATATCTGCTATCCAGGTATTTGCTCTTACTATCTCCCTACTTCTCTCACCATTCTAACCAATGTTACCTGCTTTTCCGATATCATTTAACCATCTTGCCCAATTTTCGTGAAGCTCTTTTAAGTGCTTTTACTTTCAAACTCAACATAATCTCATGCTAGGTAACGATTTGTGGACCAACGGGAGTTACATTCCTGTTTTGTCTTGCTTGTTAACTAGTAACTGGATGCCACCATCACTGTATTACTTATCTCAACCATATTTTGACCGCTCTTTATGTTACACACTTTTAACATTCCCTAAACTACCATGCTTCGATTCAACAATATAGGTCTTCGTCTCACCATTGACTGGTCGCTTAGTAAACGTGGTCTCCTCTGTCACAGATTTTCACGCCTTCCTCTTCACGTAGCTTAGTCGTCATGCACTCATTCGAATCAAATTAACTCCCAGCATTCAGTGGGCATATTTTTAAATAAATAAATTAACTTTTATTAAATAAGCAAACGATTTATTCTCGACGGGGCGAAACACTGCTTCAGAGGCATAACTACCGTAATACAAACACGTAACATCAGTAATGGTTCAGAAATGTTACAATTCAAACAGTACATACTTGCTGTATATGTGTATGTATGTGGGTGCATATGTAAGTAATCATGATGTGTGAATTTGTTAGTAGTACTGTGAACTTGTGAGTTTGTTCGGTGAATGTCCCAATATAGGAAGGGTCATATGAAGTATTTGAAGTGGTTGACGTTCACGAAACATGTAAGCTCCTCTGTTAGAGCAAGACAGTGACTTTATTTAATGGCGAGTCATATCCGCCACGTCACAATGTTGTTAAACAGACATTTGTGGTATTTTATAGGAAGAACGCTTACCAGGCAAAAACCCACCACGTCCTGGAACCCTGCCACCGAACTATTAGCTGGACCGGGATTAACCCGAACCACCCAGCCCGCACCACCTGGAGGTTGTTCGGCTAGCCAGCCATCTCGATGGAGCATAATTCTTCCCTACTGCAATTGATTTGTGCTACCCAAGTTGTTTTTAGTGCGTTTCGTGCTTCTATCCATACGCGCCTCCCTGTTGCTTTTAGTAGTTTTTACTGCTGCGACACTGTGTTCGATCAAGGATTCTCCGCGCTATCTGCTGGTACTAGAATTACATCCATAAGATCTTCTCTAACGAATTTACGAGTCAATCTCAATCGCCTTCGCCCATCGCCGGCATTTTTCGTTGACATCCACCCACTACAAGCCAATTCAAACGGCTTTACCCTCGGGGGCCAGAGTGAAACAATATACTAGCCAAACTCCGTGTACGTCATGACACACCTACGGTAACTGACGTCGAGCGTGCGACTTGGACAAATAACGCGAGCATCACTCATCCTCTACCTCTCGTGACCAGACAATAGCATCGTTCGTGTGTAACAACGGCCCGCAATGAAATCGATTCCAGCTAACCGCAACTCTAGTGAGCAGAAGTGTGCACGGGGAGTCAGAAGGGACATTACTTGTTCAAATCGTGGCCTTGCGTCTCATCTCCGCTGTGCCTTTGCAAGTCAACTAGAATGTAAAAGACAAACCAATCTGATTGATGTGCTCTAGTTTGTTCAAATATGCAGATCAATCCTAGCAGTCAATTGTATAATATGGCACGTAAAAAATGTGAAAAACTGACTGAAATAATTTAGCAGATGCCCAGCTTCAGCGCTTTGCTATTAAAATTTAACAACACTGATCTTGTTCTACAGCGAACCACCTGAGCTCTCTCCTTAAGTCGAAGGCTGACGTCAATCTTGCTAACCGCCCAACGACATTTGCTCCACTAACTTCGACAATTACTGCCTCTTTAACTGGGCAAGCCACATCCGACATGAGTACTATTAACTCATCCCTATATGACACACTTGCCGAGTTGGTCACAACACCAGCAGTTCAGAGCCGGGTTACATACCCATCGATACTAACGCCCAAAGAGATACCCGTACATCCATTTTCCGGACCAAGCACGAGTGATGCGACGCCGTTTTCACAATGTTCTTTAGTACCCGCTAAACAATCAAAGTTACCAGCCACAACACTCAAACTGACATTCGCTAAACGGAATCACAGTGCGTTAACGGTCTTGTGCATTAACGTTCCTGAGCCCAGATCTGGCACAATATAGGGTAAGTCGTTAGATGATCGTAACCAGTGGAATTCCATCTGCGATGCGATTGCTATTCGGGTTGAGCCCACTACGCTAAGACGCGTAGTGCGTTACCCAACTTCAGTGCACTACGGCGAACCCCGATTTCTTCGAGTAACATTGAACTCAACTTAGGAGACAGAGACCGTCCTACTCTCAACAGTTCATCTTCGCGACTCATTGAGCGGGGTACGCATACTACCAAATATTTCTTGCAAAGGGCGGTCAAGGGAAAAAGAATACCATGGCGGCCCTTCTACGAACGAAAGCAAGAAAACCGTATTTGTTCTTGGTGTTCCTGAACTACTGGATTCTCCTGATCACGAAGCGCAACTACACGACCGTGAGCACTGGCGCTACATCCGCGAATCAATCTCTCTGGATGACGTTATCGCTAAATCATTGACGAGAATTCCTTCGTCACCAAACTACAAGGGCTGCGTTCCAAAAATATATAAAGTCATGCTACACTCCAAAGGAATGATAGAATACCTATTGGATAACTGGTTGAGGTATCGCTCCAGGTTATCTACCGAAATTAGGCTAAAGATAAAAGTCGCTCGGCCACTAGTTGTATGCATTTGATTTGAACATTCAACCTCAATAAAATATTTGCAGAGTTGTAGACACTATGACATTAGCGACACCTGACGGGACAGGGAGACACACGAGAGAACATTTCGCTTTGGGATGCTCCATGCTACCATGCAACTTGCCTGAAATTCAAGAACCAATGACCCACGCAAAAAAGGATTAGCGGACGACCGACGAACGGTCGGGTTAAAACTAAACACGAATTTGTTGTCCACCCACACATTTCTAACATCAAAAACACTATCATGTTTGTGTACTGACGCTCAAGGTCTTCTTAGTAAGTTGGCCGAACTTAGAGGACTCCAGGCGTTACAACCGCGGGATCTCATTATGTTTACGGAGACCTGGTTAAGTCTTGCGATAGCAGATTCTGAAGTCAGTTTGCCTGGTATGTCACTGCTTCGGCATGACAGAGCTGAAAAGGTGGTGGCGTAATTCTGTATTACAATGCTAACTTCCGATGTGCACTAATTGACCACCCAGAAATCCGTGCCCCAGATTCGCTATGGCTGCGGAACAAAGGTACATGTCATAGTTTTGATTTACCGTCCACCAAAGTCTACGTGTGAAATGGACTCCAAACTGAACCACCTACTTCTGGTTGCAGTCACATTCTCATCGCAGACAACTTTAATGTTCACAATCTTGTAATAGCGACGACCGATAGCATGCAGTCTAAAGCCTTTTTACAAAATACTATTCCCAGCTGCCTTCTGTAAAACCACGTGACCTCTCTCACCAGATTTCGAGCTACTAACCTGCCGTCGATACTTGATCTTGTGCTCATCAACGAATAACTCGTTGTCGGTGGCATATTTGCAAGCACACCACTGGGTCGCAGTGACCATGTCACTCTACTGTTTAACTGTGTATGTTATGCGGCTTCATTACGGCTTCATTACTCACCTACGTTCCAGAGAGTAACAGGCCCTACGGCTATCTCTGTTTCTATTGTCCTACCCTCACCTTTATCCAATATCAATTTTACTGCAGAAACTGTGTTAAAAAGCTGTTCTCCCTGCGTATCCACAGCTCTCCTGGTGTCGATAACATTCGACCAAAGGTGTTACAGGCAGCAGCCAGTGATCTGGCGGAACTTCTGGCTATATTCTATCAGCGTTGCCTAGAGGAGGATCAAATTCCAGCCTTATGTAAGCGAGGGGTCATCACTCTTATTCATAATAGAGGTAGTCGCACTGACCCAACCAATTACATCCCGTTAACGCTGCTCCCTGTGCTTTCCAAGGTTCAGAGTCTATCATCGCTGATGCACTCAAGTAGTATCTGGAAAATCACATAATGGCACCAGAGGAACATGGATTCTGACAATAACCGATGATGCACTACGGGCTAGTTGGCAAGAGCCACTAGCAGTCATGGGTTCGATCCTCCGCAGAGGACCGAAGGATGCGCACCACTGATGAGCCCCAATAGGGCGAAACGGCCGTCTGGTGCTTTTCCGGACAGCTGGTCGACATATCTGAATTGTCGGCTGATTGCGACGAACAAAATGATGCACTACGAATCTGTTAATTGCACGCAATAGCTGGACTGAAGCAGTTGATGGTGGAGCAGAAGTCCATGTCATGTACCTGGACTTTTCGAAAGCGTTTGATCACCTAGACCACCGAATTCTCTTCTATAAACTTTAGCTGTATGGCGTCGGTGACCAACTACTGTGTTGGATAAGCAATTTCCCGCACGAATGTCGGTTGGTAGTGAGAGTACAAGAATCCCTGTCCGACACAATCGAGGCGGAATGCAGTGTGCCACAAGGCTGGATGCTACGGTCCCGTCCGTGATTTTCGTAAACCATCTGGCAAGGGAAATTCTTTCCATTTTTTATTTTTCGCGGATGATATCAAGTTATGGCGAGCGGTTAGAGAACCGAACGACCACAAAATGATCCAGCGTGACCTCAACTCGGTTTCGAACTGGTCAGTTCAGCATAACTGCAAAATTCCCATTTACTCATCAAGAACAAGGGACCGAAGGTACACAATTGTTTTCGATGAATTCATCGTCAGACCTTTACCATCATGTGGGTACATGAGCAGTGGGAGTAACAGTGGTTTCGATCAATTCAAATGAAATCACGTGCCAACCGGGGCATAAACCAGCAATAAACGTAAAGGATAAGCGCAAACTAGGGCAAAGAGGTAGTCAATTGATTGCTCATGACCTCCGCGTCGTCCATTTTATCTGGCCAGGGTAAATTAAGTGCTTCGATCAGTTTCTTTTGTGAACACCGAAGCGGTTGATACAACCGAATACTTATCGCCTCAGCTGTAGCAAGGGGGCGGAGGCACAGGCCTTTCGATTGGAGTGGCGGAACCTTGTATAGTATTCGAAAGGCGCGGATTGGGTCCACTTCATGCCCATTATCAACCGCCTCGACGCAACCAGCGTGGAAGGTGCTCATTAATGCGCTTTGACAAGTGCCGCGCCGTTCGACCGATGTAATAGCGCCACAGGCGCACTCGAACTGATAAATGATCATAGAAGCGGTCAGAATCGGCAACTTGTCTTTGTTGCAGATACGTATGAGGGGTTCCTTTGAGAAATTGCACTTGAGCTTAGCAGCTGGAAAAGTTGACTTAACTTCTGTGGAAAGGCTTCTAGCTACACGTTCGGCGGCTGCGTCCTTTTTTGAAAGGTAATCTTATAACTAGTTCTTTCTTCTCAGCTGTTGGAACCTGCACCGGGTCGGGTTTGTCTTGCATGTTCTTATGAATGAATCGATCAGGATACCCATTTTCGCGCAGCACACTTTGAATGAATGCCAACTCAGTATCCAACGTGTCTTCAGAGCAAATCCTGCGGGCCCTTGTAGTTAGACAGCGAATTAGGCTTCGCTTGTATCTCAGGGACGAAACTATTTTAGTTCGTATACTGTCCACTCCGGGTTTTCTTCCTGTAGACTTGCTATTGGATCGAGCCATCTACCTTACGAGTTAACAATACATCAAGGAATGGCAACTGGTTGTTCGCTTTTTTCTCTTAGGTAAACTGTAATGCTGTGTGGGCCTGATTAAAGCGTTCAGTACCATCGTCGAGGTCAGTGGACTGATCGGCCACAACAAATATGTCATCCATATATCGATGATAACAATCAAAGGTGGTGATCTCCGCATGTAGTTTGGTATTCTCTAATTTTGCCATGAAGACATCAGCAAGCGGCGGACCTGTTGGCGATCCCATGCATACACCATCTTTTTGACGGTAGTAAGTGCCATTGAATAGGAACTGTATGTTCCAGGTGCAACGCAAAAGGAGGCTTTTCGAATCACGCAGTTCAGAATACACTACCGTTCAATGTTGAATAATGTCACTCTGTTCATTTACGTCATAGGTATGACTACGTGTATGTGCTTGGGTCACATGTATTACAAACAACTTCCCAGGAACGCGACCTTAGTTTCCTCATTCATAGTTACCTTATCTGTTCAAAACAGCCAGAGGCCACTGCGGAAAGAGCCGACTAGCACCTCAGTTTGTTGCGGAGAGCATTCGGAAGTTTCGACCCATTCACTCTCCCCTGGTGCACAGCTCTTACTTGCGCTCTAACGGTAAATACGGCATCCAAGCTTGGTAACCTGGGTTGAAGCGCGATTTAGAAGTACTAGAGAAACCTCAAAGCAGGGCCACAAAGAACGTCAAGGGCCTACGAAATCTGTCCTACCATCAAGGGCTGATGTCATTGGGAGTCTTTAGTGGCCATTCCCGAAGGCTGCGCGGCGATCCCACATCAGTCTAACAAATGTTGAATAACCCTAATCACGTATGCCTCACTTGCTGAAACCCAGCCATAACACAAATCACAGAGTTAACCCTCTGAAATTGAGTGAACAGTATAGCCGCATGGAATGCCGGCGGAATTATTTTTCCCTACTAGTTTGCCAACGCTGGAACTCTCTGCCAAACTAAATTCTTTCCTCCCCGAACTTGTATATTTTCAAGAAACTATTGGGTCTTACCCTTGGTCCCCATCACTTCGTTGCCTAAACTGTGCTACTTTGGAATATATTAATTATCCCTTCAAGCCGGATTAATATTTCACTTAAACCTGAGGAGGCGGTACAGAATTGAGTATTCTTGTTTGTACCTTTCCCACGGTGTACATCAACTATAACTGCCCCATGTTGCCTCTTCGTTCGTACTTAGTTTCCACTCACACCACTATTATTCAGTGGCGTATCTGCTGGATAAATGCTCAAACAGATAACCCACATATTTCTTTATATTGTAGTTTTGCCCCTACTATCCTGCGGGACTTGTCAATCAACTGTTTTTTTTACCCGACATACACCATTGTTCATGGTTCCTCCGCGTTACTTGCGGGACTCAGTGACCAAGTCGTGACTTCTATTTACAACCACTGTATCCAGGATTTGAATCCCAGTTTCGATCATCCGCATCTGAAGAGTTCAAGCGAAACCGGACATGGAGTGCAGTTCAGGAGTCCGACAACGCAACGATCACATACTTCATCTATCATCCTAGTCGTCGAAATCACCGAACTTTACTTCAGATTGGATGGGCGTCACGGTTTAGATTGCGTTTTGCAGTTCAAAGACTCGTAGAATACCCCAGACTGAATAAATAGGTTTTCTTGTTCTTTTTTTACATATTATTCACTACTGTTTTATGTCTAAGATCACCTCTGTGAGCCTCTAGTGGCCGTAATCTTGGTTTATCAGCATTATTATTCTCTACTTAAGGCGTTATGCAAACAGAATTGAGTCTTTCGTGTTAATGTTTTCTCTGTTGCTTCAACAGACACTCTGGGGGCCTGGGATTCCGGACGAATCCCCTTACAGCTCCACTGACGATTGTTCTGGTCTGGGGATCTGCTTACCTGGTGCGCGAAATGCCTATTTGGCTACCGGCATCAGAAATCCGAGTTCCACGAACCCTTCAGTGCCTGCTTGTTGTCAGTCTCCGCCACAACTTCCTGCTGTTCACCTATCCAGCTGTGCCACGCAGTTGCTTCGTTTGGCCGTGGACGACGTGGTGGCAAACGTCCGAATCTGTGCTGTTCAGGCTCTACAATTAATCTCCGGGGTTTTGGATAAAAAGTACGCACTTCTGACACAAGCCAAAATGTGTGTGTGCAGCGAATAACCAACCGAAATTGGGGCCATCCATTTAATTCGTCTTTGCTTCACTGTATCACTTTTTTCTTGTACTCAAGGTGCGATGCGTTTCTCTTGACACGCTCTGCTCAAAGGTTATACTCTAAGTATGTAAGCTTAGTCTGATCTAATGTTTTCCTGGTTGATTTTCAGTTAGACGGGACATTCATCTCGTCTTGTCTTACCGCAAGATCCCACAATTGCTGGTCAGCCTAATTCGTTCCCTGGTTGCGAATAAGTTTAGGGCGCATCTATGCATCTCAATCTACCAGACCGTCACGTAGTCCAGATGTTGATTTTATAAACTCGACCTCTTGTTCGCAACATTGAAATAGGAAGTTGAAGTAACCCTAATTGGAGGGGTCATTGTTGAGGCACTTGTGTGAATGGATTATGACATGCAATCTCAATGTAGGCCATATAGTGTTTTCGGGTTGGTAACACCCAATATCCATATATTTGGAGTGACTCTTACTAATGAACGTCGAGACACAGTCCATGACGATATGACCGCCGGTAATCAGCCTTCCATCGGCAGTATGAATGCCCTATGCTTCATACCGCCACTCCTGATACCACAGAACCTATTCACCTCTATAGGGTCATTTCATGACTGATTTGTCGCAATGCGCTTGTTCTAGATTGTCGCATAAAACGGAGTTCCGCACACGTTTTCATGGTGGTCGTAAGGAATGCGAATCACTCTGTCGTCCTTCGGATTGTAAGCTTCCAGTGAGTAATTGTGCACAAGCTGTCTCAAGCGCGGTCTAATCCCAACTCTTCTAGTAGATGGCGACTCCATCGGTTCAACTGCTTACCATTGAATGTGCAATCGAAATCCATATATGACAACATCCCAAATGTTTTAGATGCCACCGCGTTTTAAATTTTTTCTATGAAGTATTCCACGTTTTGCAAAGATCGAAATGTAGACCATCCGCAGCCAATTTGTGGAGGCGATCGAATGGCGATGGACGGTTCACTCGTTCTTCCCGCACCAAATACGCGACTCCGATCACATTCATTGCTCACGCGGTACTCCTACCATACATGAGCTGAGCTGCGAAGGTAGCGATGGTCGAACGCAGCTAGCTCTTTTATGTCTGTCGACCTGATTGGACAGGTTTCACAACCGTATAGGAGGGTTGAACGAACTACTGTCCTTCAGGGCGAGAGTAATGTCGCGTCGGCTCCACATGTGCGAAGATTGGCAAAATCAACTCGAAGTTTCGCCATAATTCTGGTGACCTCATCTTCGATCTCACTGGCGCTAATGTAGTTGCCTAAATAGTTAAATGCACACACGACTTCTAGCTTATCACCACCAAAAGTCAGCGTTGGGGTATGTTCTTGCCAATCTTGGGGAAAAACTGCATTTCGAGGGAGCAAAGCGAAGCCCACTACGATTGCCAGATGGTGCTAGTCTGTCCATCGCCTCTTGGTACGTTTGGGAGTTGTCACAGAGTAGGGAAATGTCGTCATCATAATCCAAGTCAAAAGTAGATCACCTGGGAGCAACTTCACACTATGTAGGTCGTGTCTAGTGAACGTAGTTTCCATGATTCGGAAAACTGGTAGCTCGGGTTGATAATTCAGTTGCTCATTTGTTCGCTGAGCAAACAAATTTCCCAGCTCGGCGAACAAATGAGCAACTGTAGTTTCGATGACTTCGTCAGTGGTGAGGTTAAAGAGGAAAGGTGACATCGGCAACCTTGTCTCGCACCGCTGGTGATATTGAAGGGCGGCGACAATTTGCCACAAATCCTCACTGCTCGAATTCTGCGCGTGCAGCGCTTTTATGACATTTCTGTATATCTCGGGCACACCCTTCCTGAACAGTCCATCTCAATGACACATCGATCCACCGTATCGAATCCATCTTTGGTGTGGAGCAGCACGACTCCGGTATGCCGTCAGATTGGATGGCTGTGTTTCAACAACTGACCTAATGTGAGCATGTTGTCAATACAACCTCAATTTCGACGAACCTTGGCAGGTTCTGTACGGGTGACAGTCAATCTAGGGCAGAGGTATCCGAACTTTTTGGAAGGCGGGCCACATCTTGTGAGGTAAATATATGTCGGGCCATATTCAGTCTGACATTAAGATAATGACAAAAATTACACATGTACCAAAATAGCCAAGCCTGAATTTATTGTTTCAGGATGAGGCCACGGGCCAGTTGAAATGGCCCGCCGGCCGGACTTTGGACATCCCTGATCTAAGAAGTGATTGAGGTTAGACTGATCTCTCTGTCAAACATGATTTGACTTTCACAACTCTCAAAATGGTAAGAAAAAGCAGCATTTCGACATTATAATCTGAATTCAGTTATCTTGCATATTCTTCTCAGCCGTTTACACACTGTTAGTGGAATGGATAGGTTGCATACAAAGACAGTCAATGTGTAACGTCATTAGTGAGTCGAACGCGGTCAAAATTCTTCTGACACTAGTCAACATTCTGCTTAGAGGAATGTTACCACTAGTATCACTAATTCAAAGCGAGACTGGCGACAAACTTAGTCCGTCTACGCAGAGTGGGTTTCAGCCGCCAAATTACCAAAGGCTGCATACTGAAGCAGGGGGGCGGCGTTCTGTTGGTTGATTATCCTAAATGATTCACGAGGGTTTTCACACATAAGGGCAGTCAACTATGTATCGGGTGATCGAACTGGCAGTCACTTTCGGACAATTCGCGATCAGGTTTCGCGGAATATGTTTTAAAATCCTTGTGGGCGGTCTACTCTCAGTTCGGCCGACGTACTCGCTATCGCAAGTACATTGAAACAGATGGATGTATGAGGCGGTAACTCGTGAGCATTTTCTGCCCATGTTGGATCTAGGCAGCAACTTCCTAACGAGCAAAGTCACAAGCTCAGTAGCGTAATAACACTTATTATAGGTTGACTGTGATGATATTGGAATATCCTATCGTTTTAGTGTCATATGGTTGGTAGCGTTATGAGCACTGTTTTCTTAAGGGCATCGTGCACCCGTTCATCAACAATTTCTGCTCTCTCTTTCTCACGAGCATCAAGTAACAACATTTCACATAGTTATCAAAGTTTTGGTACTATTAAGTGTCTTTTGGCCCAGTACTTTACCGTGTCTTTACTTGTTCCTCTGTTTAATAGATTTGTGCAGAAAGAAGTTATCCCCGTCCTGCGGAGGATCACGGAAAACGATTCGGATGTGGACGTGCGCTATTACGCCCAGGAGACTCTAATTGGTGGGTTTAAAGCCGACCCTGTTAACATCGGGTCATAGATGATCTTTAGATTATTTAGCCCTGCTCGCCATTTTTCATACTCTTCAGCTTTATGTCATGAATTGCCGTACAGATTTAGCCTCGAGTGTCTGTTCTGGCATACGGTTCCAAACATTCACCCATTGCCGTTAACAGCTCGAACATTAAGCGATTCCCCTCAGATCCGGTACTACACGCCTTTACTTGTGTCCTCGTCTGTTGTGTACTATGTATAGATGGGATAGTGACTGGAAGTTGAACTGCGGTATATCATGACTAGATGGACTTGCAGCCGACCACAGGATATGATGTATGGTCTTAACCTCTCGCACCATGCATACGATGAACGCCGTAAATTGCGGATGAGCCTGGTAACGACATGTTGGACCCGCTCGATCTCCTGAATCTCGCCTCTTGTGATCGGCTAGTTAGTGAATGATACATACCTTAGCATTGTTCTTAGGATGGACGGGTAGTGGCGAGTGGCGACCTCCTCCGACCAAGTGCAGAAGATGCGTTTGAGCATCGAAGCACGCACAGTTCGTTTTGGTATAGCCTGTTATTGGACGAGGAGCACGTCTAGTGGGGTTCACTAGTTGTCTTGGCAAGTAGCCGACTGCATTGGTGTTTGTGTTGTGAGTATCTTTGTCTCTCCCCATCTAGCTTGTCATCTCCCTCCAATTACGATCCCTCTTGATGCATACTGCGTTACTAAGCACTGTGTTGTCGGTTTTTTTGCATTACATAATCTTTAGTATATTGCTTTTTCGTCTATCCTATGTATTGCGGCACAATAGGTGGTGTGTTTCTCACCTTCAGCTAATGTTTAATGCTGATGTTAATGTTGTCCACACCGCAGCGTGATATTACGGAAGGTGTGGGATGTTACGCTTGATGTAGGTTCGTGCATCACCACCCTTTCCAAAGCTCACGAATGCCGACTTCATTGCATTGGCCTGGAGGTAGTCGAGATTTTTCTGGAGTTTACCTTTGACATTGGGAGCACTAATCTCCACCACTTTAGATCCTCTGCAGACGGAGCAAATGGCAACCAGAAAATACGACGTAGATCATTGGTGTGTAGATCGGGAACAAGTCGGCCCCGGCACTGTTCCCTAGAATTCGTTGCTGACCTAAAGTACCTGTCGGCCAATTTGTCGTGGAGTTGCTACCTCCGCTTTCGCCCAACACGAAACTCTCAGCTCCACTGGTGCGGGGAGCCACCAACACCTTACTCTAACCCTGTCGTGTTGGCTGGATCTTATGGTCCACCTCGTGTAATGATCTACTGACATCAATATAGATTTCGTCGGCAGTCTTCCGTTGGTATATTGCCTGCAACCATGTAGGCTTCTTCGCATGCGGGTTTGTGATGGATGAGCTACTTAGAATGTAGCTGCGCTGTGCGGGTCTCAGGAGGTCAATTGAGTGGAGCAAATGCAACATACCTCTCTCAATCTGGCCTGCCTTGACCAAAGTAGATATCAGACATTATGGGATTTTTTTTATCAAGAAAGGCTCGTCGTAGCGCGAAATTTAGGCGACATGTTTCTTCGATCGACGTCATATCTCCCTTAGTTTCTTTCGATTGAAGTTTTCACTGAAATCACTTTGAATGAAACGCAGCTCCACCACACGAAATATTAAAGTTTGCATAACAATCAAAATATATAAAGGCGGTTTCGAACAGTAATTACGGGGGGATCGATTCTGCATCATAAACTGTTCCATAGAAGGCGTGACTGTAAGGCAGGTTTTGCATAACTAAAGACAAGAATCTAGGAATAAAAGGAACTCAAAATGTATTTGTAACATCGGAGTCGCAGATGAGACGGAATGACGTCGAGATTTTCAAGTACTTATCCCAATGCACAGGGCAATCCACTAGAATTGATCGTTATAGCATAGCCAGGGGAAGGCATCAGGATGCCGCACACAACTCATTATTTGTTGCTACTGAGGTGCTCCCTTGCTTTTTCCCAAGCAACAAGTCGGAATCTATGAGGTCGCATTACCACCGGCGAAGTCTGTCTAGATATGATTTCGGTTCGTTATCCGTTCTAAGCAATGTTATTGCGGACGTTTCATCACCAGTCAAGATGAGCTCATCAGTGAGGAAAGCAAATTGCTACTGTGTAGAAGACTGCCTGCATGCGAAATCCTCCCAACAACGAGTAAGAAAGCGCGTTGATCTTTCGCAGGTGCAATAAATCGAGACACCAGTAACTCGGGATGGCTGGTCAGGTTTTGGTTGTTTCTCCGAGCTCAATGCATATCTCATTAGTAGTGCTATGCTTTCCGTCACTCTTAGACATTTAGCATTTTATTATACCTCATTGCTTATTGACCTCTGGCTCAGCTCTGCGGCACGCGGTTTTCCTAGTGTTTCTCTAATCGGATCAGTTTCTCGGTGATGTAATTCGCACCTGGTGTGCTTCAGCGTCTTCACTCACTCGCTCTAAGTGCACTTGTACCCATCCTTTCTACTTGAGTTTATAGGCACACTTGGTTTCCCTTCTGCGTTCACTGACTCTTGGAAGTCCTTCCTACCGCTTCTCCCACAGTTTTCACCCCAAAGTCTCAATCCTATGGGAAGTGTCCACCTCTCCTTACTCTTTGTTTTTAAGTTTGTGCGCTTTTTCAATTCCTATTCACTATTCTTGTTTATCCTTTGTTTCTCGGTATGCTGCTCTGTTCCATGCATGAAAAATGAAATGAAATGTGTCAGCTTATACGCCTTAACGGCGCTTCGCTGCCGCGCAACCACCACCAGTCGCGCGCGGGCTGAGTATACCGCGAGGACGCCCACCCCATGCATAGTCTACTGTGAAACGGCCATGCGTCCACTCTGACACGAATGGATTTCTGACAGGCTTCACAGTGGCTGCTTACGCTGTCTCCTTACATCGTTTTGATGATAGTCTGCTACACTCGTATATTGTGGGCGCTGTTACCGAAAAAATCGTTGTTTAACGGTGAACCCACAACACCCATCTAAACGCACAGCCTGGGCTGTGAATCAAGGGCGGTGGGCAGAACCAATAGTACTGAAGCGACCGTGGTTAATAGGCGAAATTCGCAATTTTGTACGGAAATAATTTCACGAATTCATTTCGTACATTCTGCACAGGTTCTATTGCGTAATACCAATTTGGTTGCCCACTTCTCTAACTTGACCGTTTTTTCCTCCTTGTTTATACGTTCATTTAAACCTTATGGAACCAGACCTTCGCTCCAGTCCCTTGATTGGTCGACTTGAGTAAGTTTCACTGTGTGTGGTCCGGCTATCTGTGCTGTGCAAATCATTGTCAATAATAAACAAAACTTGTGCAACAAAGACTAAGAGATGTGACATGTGGTTCAGCATCTAACGATCTCTAAACCGACCAAACATGGCAATTCGGTCGGGCATCGCGGGATTAAATGTGAAGTAACTATATACTACTTTTAAATACATAGTAGATGGACAAGTAAATCAGAATTCAGAGTATCCGGGCTACCTATAAATATTCGATTACGTTTGCTTCGCTCTTACATTTTCCCTCCGCATCAGTGTTTACTACCGCATGAGTACGCCAGCTTACGAGTCAACCTTCACTTGGATTGTGCTTGCAGCTCACAATCAGTTGCGTGGTTCCAAAACCTGCTTTTGCACCTACTACCCCACTCGGTGATCGGTGACGCATTCGCTCCGGAGACATATGCGTCTGGTTAACGACGAATGTTATATTGTGTCGCCTACCCCACACTGATGTCCACTTCTTTTGCTTTGTCACCTTCACATCGACGAACTTGTCTTCTCCCTCCACACTCAGCCCAACCGTTTCTCCTCCCGTTCCTCTTGTCACTCGTTTTCATGTTCGAAGTAAAGTTTTCTTCGACTTCATTTCCATTTTAGTGGCCTCTGTTTCTCAACCGATATATCATCACATCTCTTTTTCTCGTACCAACATTTGCCACTCATAGTTAACCCTGTGTGCTTGCACACCTATCCCGCGCTACCTGCCTTTGTCTCATTTGAACGTCAAACGCGCGAATTTTTGAATTAGTTAGGGTTTAATGCACCCGTCTGTTTGCACGCGATGATGCATTATACACTCCATTCTCTCCGTATTTTGTATTTTCGTGAGTTTTAGACTGCATTCTTCTTGACTTTTTCTTGTCTTGTTGATGCAATAATGTCGATGGCGGAAGTTGATTTTGATTTTTGTCGCAGTTAATTTCGCTCCTGGGATGCGAGCTTCTTCATCACTTCTACTCCCCAGCTTGTTGTAGTCATTAGTGGCCTAGAGGAACTTATTGTTCCAAACTAAATGGGCTGCTGAACTATGTTTCGAATGAGGTATATTCTGCTTTTATGCACTCTCGTAATTGGCCACACGAGCTTCCACTTAGTTAAGTGCACCTGACTTCGTTTACCCCGATATTCTGGATCCCGTGTATTACGGTGTATGCGTCAGCTCTTGGACGAAGTGAAACTTTAGGTTATTCACCAATTTATCGGATATTTACTCAGTTTCGTTGCGTTGAAATACCAGCACCACACACTACTCTTGATCGCGGAACCCACCTAATTGCTAGTTTGTCTTGAACGACGAAGTGTAAATCCACAAAGATTCGCTCACGTTTGACCGTCACCACATGCTGTTTCTCTGGCTCTTTCGAATGACAATTGTCCCTCATTTATGGTGACATTTGATCGGTCAGCATTTGTACATCATGGCTTATGCAGCCACATCCCTGGCTGTGAATGTTTCTTATTGTCGCGCGGAACCGCTTATCGTATCAATGATCAGAGGCTTAAACTGCAGCTTTTTGAATAAACCATGAACTTCATCACTAATGTAGGTTTCTACTTCCCTTCTTTCATATTCCCACTTCTAGTTTTGACCGTTTTGCAACTGCATGTGAAACAATGATCAGTTTTGATTATTTACCAGAATCTTTTTCTAATTCACGTATTTCACTTTAAATCGCGTCTTTCAGCTCTCCCACTTTGCGTCATATCGGTTACGAAGCAGCGCTCTGCTTCTCTTGGGAGCGATGTTTCCTTGGTCTCCGGAACACGTGTATGCAAACATAGTTTTCATCCATCATGGATTGTCTGGCGCAGATGCTAGTGACATTGGCTGTGTACTTCCAGTTGATGATGTCGTCAGGTCAAAGACTCGTGCTGCGATCAGAAAAGAAAACCGAAAACGAAATAAGCGATCCGATCACACTGTTCTCAGTACATCTTTGAAAACCTGTTAACATTAATTGACATCGCTTGAAGGCGCATCTTTTTGATTTAGGCAGGCGATCCCAGCGGCTGAATCTCGTAAGTCACTAAGGATTGATTCAACAGCCAGGTATCATTCATACAACCACGAATGCGGTATAGTAACGACGGCGGGTTACTCAAGTGCTCAAGTTAGTCGGTTATCAGAGGCTCTTATTTACGCGGATGTCTTCTGATTTATAATTTTGCCTGGCTTTATCTATATTTTGACCACAAACTCGGCATCAGTATTGCAGTTTTTCAACATAAGTACTGACATTGAGTTTAATGGTACTCACTCTTGTGTCAAGTTAACAAATTCCGCAGCAACCACAGGTATCACACTTCGTATTCGCATTATCGGTCGGCCTGGAGAACCTAGTTGAACTCCAAGTATTCTGTACTGCACAGTCGAATAGTTCTTATTATTCCCTGTTCGGTAAAATGCCAAATTTCAGTGGGGTTTTTTATAATTGAGGGGAACGCCGCCTCTTGATATGATTACGTAATTGCCTGATAAGATTGTCGCTGGCACCGTTGGAGCACGCCTACGAGGACGACTTGTAACGCTGGCCAATCGAACGGAGTTGCGCTGACCTGATGACGCTAGCTTAGCCGGTGAGACGGAAAATTGAGCGAGCGAGTGAACGATCCTAGCCGCACTTGTTCGGATAGACGCTGAGCCCTCGGAAACGGACGCACAGGAGAGGGGGTTACGATAGACGCGCGCTAATGACTTAGACGCGAAGGCTGGTCAGCTAGCGCCTCACACGCAATCACGTGACCCGACCGACTCCCAACTGAGGCGAAGAGAAAGAAAAGACAGGCGGTCCTCTGTAGGCTCTTTTACGACCAACAAAGGGCAATCACAGCCAGTGCTATGGGTTATTAAGTTAGGGAAAACGGTCACCACGAAAAGGTGGTATTTTGCAAATGAGCATTGTCGAAAGGTGCGCAGTTGGGGCGCGTCTCGGAGTGGCTGAGCTCTGCTGCGTTGTGGGGAGGAATTGAACCTCGGTTTCCACAACCATTCTGCCGGGGTTTCTGGGGCGTTTCTGCTGGGATTTTTGACGGGTCCGCAACAGTTTTGCTGTCCAACGGTTGTCACAATCCGTGAAGTCGCAACGTCAACCTGAACTACAACAGCAGTCATCTCTGCTATAAACACATTCTTAAATGGTCGCCAGCGCGCAGTAATGTAAAACGCAGACAAGTGAGAACTGCAAGGATGGAGACGTAAGTTCTATTACGCAACACGTAGGCTAGTCACCTGTTCTCTTCAGGTTTTTGTCCTTCTTCAATAATTGCGCAGGAATGTCCTTCTGAAAGGCAGACGGAGAAGGCGCCGTCAGTGCGACAATTTAAATTCAACCACGCGCCAAACTAGTCTCGATCACTCGTTACACCGCACCCCTTCTATGTAGGCAACGTCTCCGTTGCTACGCCAAATCCCCCTTGAGCTGGTATTTCAACTTAGCTGGCTACTTCTGTCAGTGGCTCAATGTGGTGCTCCTCACCCGAATGCTCCGGCTCGATATGGAATGGTTTAAGCCGATTAAAGTGTACGACCATGTGCTTCCCGACGGCGTTCTTTGGGTCGGTAATCACGCAAGTTAGATCAGATATTATTCTGTCTACTACGTAGGGGGCTGCCCCATTCACGATGCAGGCTCGCTGGTATTCCGGATACTGGTGCCTGATGCAAATGTACGAGGTCGCCTGGTTTCAACGGACACCGAAGACCTTCTTGTCGTAGTATTCCTTCTGTCGCTGTTGAGCGTTCGCCAAGTGAATGCGTGCCGTTTCGTGTGTGCGTCGAATGGAGTCAAGGAGCTTACTGACGTATTCTGCGGCCGACGGGTACACCTGTTGTGATCTCTGTAATCGGACATACGTGGGCAACCGAACTTCTCTTCCCGTCCACATAAACGATGGCGTTTGCCTGGTAGAAGAGTGGACCGTACTGCGATAAGCCAATAAGCGTTTAGGCAACAACGTGTCCCACTCGTAAATGTTCTGGTCCACGAACGCCTTCAAGAGTGACTTCAACGACCGATTCGTTCCATTGTGGATGGTAAGCCGTTGTTCGCGTTTTATCGATACCAAATACTCTGCACATCTCCTGGACCAATTAGCTTTCGGAACATGATCCCCTATCGGAATGCAGTTGCCCAGGCGCTCCCCATTGGCAAACCCAGTGATCAGTCATCGCTGTTGCCACAGTGAGAGTATCAGCCTGCGCGATTGGCACGGCTTCGCACCATTTGGTGAAGTAGTCAACCATGACTAGGATGTAGCGATTCCCTCTCGGCGTTTCCGGAAGTGGACCAACGAGGTCTACTCCAACTATTTCGTTCGGGTAACCCGCAGTCATGGATTGTAATGGTGCCCTGTGAGCAATAGGCGGATTTTTGAACGTCGCGCATCTTTCGCAAGTTTGGCAGAAGTTGACAATGTCTCTTCGTTGATGCGGCCACCAAAACCGTTGACTCGCCGCCGATTCGAGTTTATTGATTCCAGCGTGACCCAACTGTTGGTGCAGTTCCGACAGCACTTCGGTAACTAACGCCTGTGGAACAACGATCTCAGGTACGTGGGGCCGAAATCGAAGACTAACACACCCTCTTCGATGGCGAGTTTATCCCACATCGCCCACAACCACCGAGCTTCGTAACTTTTCCCCTCCGTTTCTTTCGGAGCTGGTTTGTCCCTTCCCGAGCGCCGCTCGTGGTAGATGAGTGATAAGTCTGGGTCCGAAACCTGTGCTTCTTGCCAACTACCATACTCGGCTTTTTGTAGGTTGACTAGCGCTACGTGTTGCGTAATGCAGGAAGGACAGTTTCCGTGATCTCGAGACGGAATCCTCGATAGCGCGTCCGCGTTGCCGTGTAGTTTCCCAGGCCGATGGTGACATTCGAAATCATACTCCTGTAGCCGCTCTTGCCATCGAGCAATCTGCCCCTCAGGGTTCCTGAAATTCTGCAACCACCTGAGTGATTGGTGATCAGTACGTACTGAGAATTTTCTTCCTAAAAGGTAGTGCCGATTTTGTTTTATGAAAAGGACCAACGCCAACATTTCTTTCCTTGTCGTACAGTAATTGCGTTCTCTTGACGTAAGACTTCTACTACTGTATGAAACCACTCTCTCTATGCCATCCCGCCTCTTTTGTGACAAAACCGCCCCAATGACCTGATCACTGGCATCCGTGTCCAAAATAAACTCCCCAGCATGTGGCGACAAGTCGGGGAAGATTAACATCGGGGCGGTACACAGGGACTCACGCAATCGATCTAAGCCCGTTTGACATTCAACAGTCCAATCGAAACTGCGATTATTCTGCAACAACGCGTTTAAAGGGGCTGCCACTTCCGAGAACCCTTTGATGAATCGACGGTAGTATGATGCTAGTCCTAAGAAACTGCGTAACTCCTCGACATTCGTGGGGATTGTCCACGCCTTTATCTGATCTGTCTTGCAAGGATTTGTCCGGATGCCTGCCCTAGAGATGATGTGTCCGAGATAGGTAACTTCTTCTTGTAGCAAGCGACATATTTTTGGTTGGAGTTTCCAACCTACATTGATTAGGCACGTTAACACTTCGGCTAGATTGCTTAGATGTTCATCCTTCGTTCTGCCGTGTACGATGACATCGTCCAGATAGACGAGACACTTGTGAGGAATTAAATCGTGAAGCACTTTCTGCATAAGGCGTTGAAACGTTGCAGGGGCGTTTGATAGGCCGAAAGGCATTGTTTGGAACTCATAAAGGCCTGAAGGAATTAAAAAGGCTGTCTTCGCTCGGTCACTCTCTTCAACTTCCACTTGCCAATAGCCGGACACCAAATCTAGCGTGCTGAAATAAGCTGACCCTCCGAGCGCGTCGAAAAGGTCATCAATTCTGAGCAGTGGATATGCATCTTTCCGCGTGACTTCGTTTAGCCGCCTATAATCAACACACAGTCTAAAGCCACCGTCTTTCTTCTTTACCAAGACGACTGGGGCTGCCCATGGGGAAGTAGAGGGTCGTATAACTTCCTTTTTCAACATCTCGTCTATGAGCTTTTGCAACTCGCCTTGCCAGTGCAGTGGGATCCGTCTTGGGTGAGTCTTAATCGGGGTCGTATTCCCCGTGTCGATTAGGAGTTTCACGACGCTGGTGCGGCCCAGGTCTCCAGTCTGCCAGGCGAATGCATCAGAGTGGGCTAGCAGCACTTCTTTGAGCTTTTCCAACGTTCTCTCGTCCGTTGGCAACTCGAGTGAGCGAATAAACGTGTCTACCCGGTGTTCCTCGTCAGAGGGGCTCCCACAAATCTTAAACGTTTTAAGACTGTCAGCGTGGCCTTGTTTGAGCAATATAACACAACTGTCGGTGATCAACTTGCATTTGTCTAAGTCTAAGTGACATCTCAGACGTCTCAATAAGTCCATTCCAATGATTACAGCAAATGGAAGGTTATCGGCGACAATAAATTCATGGCGGAACTTCTCGTTAGCAATGTGCACTTGAGCGGTGATAGAATCCCGAACAGCTAGGAGTTCCCCATTAGCAGCGGTCAGATGACAGTAACATGGTGTCCACACACAATCTGTCAGCGACTTGGTTATATTAGCTCGGACTAAGCTCCTGCATGCCCCTGTGTCAATGAGACCTACCAGTGGCACCCCTGCTACGATTAACTCTATCGTTAATGAAAATGCACTAGTGA